TACTACGTTCTGGAGGTAAAAGGTTGAATAAAACAAAGTCCTTGTCAAGGAACACATTTTTCTACCAGGAAATTTCAAGTGTTGTGGCTTTGTTACCTAGAGGTGGACAGCTGGCTCTGAGTGAGATTAATGAAAACTACCAAATCGGAGTGGCTCCAGAGTAAACAGGGATAAATAGCCCAGTCAAAAGATGATAAATGATAATAATAGTAGCTAACACCTTCTGGAAGCTTCAATGTGCTGAGTACTGTACTTAAATGGTCTTATCCTGACAACAGCCCTAGAAGAAAGACAGGCTCTATTATTACAGAGCTCTCCAACTTCAGAAGTGGAACTAGGCAAAAGAAAGTATAATTTTCCCAAGGAAGGAAAACTGGAAAATAGCAGAACCCAAACAACAGTCTGAATCTGAAACACCTCCACATTTCAAACACTTTCATGGAGATGTATGTAGCAGGTCAGTAAAGAGCTGACACCTGAAAGATGGTGAACTATTGTCCCAATACAGGGATACAGAACACTTAATTATGCTCATGTGGAATCTATACATGGACCAAGAGGTAGTTGTTTGAATAGAACATTGGAACACTGGATGTTTTAAAATTAATAAAGGTGTGTGACAGTGTTGTATTTTTCACCATACTTACTCAACCTGTATGCTGAGCAAATAATCCAAGAAGCTGATTTATATGAAAAAAAAGGTGGCATCAGGATTGGAGGAAGACTCATTAACAACCTGTGATATGCAGATGATACAACCTTGCTTGCTGAAAGTGAAGAAGACTTAAAATATTTACTGATGAAGATCAAAGAGCACACCCTTTGGTATGGATTACATCTTAATGTAAAGAAAACAAAAATCCTCACCAGTGGACCAATAAACAACATTCTTATCAATGGAGAAAAGACTGAAGTTGTCAAGGACTTCATTCTTCTTGGATCAACTATCAACACTCAAGGAAGCAGCAGTCAAGAAATCAAATGACGTATTGCATTAGGCAAATGTGCTGCACAAGACCTTTTTAAAGTGTTGAAGAGCAAAGATGTCACTTTGAAGACTAAGGTGCGCCTGACCCAAGCTATGGTATTTTCAATAATCTCAAATGCATGTGAAAGCTGGACAGTGAATAAGGAAGACCGTAGAAGAATTGATGCTTTTGAGTTATGGTGTTGGAGGAGAATATTGAAAGTGCCATGGGCTGCCAAGAGAACCAACAAATCTGTGTTGGAAGAAGTGCAGCCAGAGTGCTCCTTGGAGGCCAGGATGGCCAAACTTCATCTCTCAAACTTCGGACATATTGTCAGGAAGGACCCGTCACTGGAGAAGGATATCATTTTTGGTAGGGTGAAAGGTCAGAGAAAAAGAGGAAGACCCCCAGCGAGATGGACTGGCAAAGTGGCAGCATCAGTGGGCTCAAGCGTGGCAACGATAGAGGTTGGCCCAGGATCGGGCAGTGTTTTGTTCTGTTGTGCGTAGGGTCGCTATGAGTCGGTACCAACTCGATGGCACCTAACAACAACATATTCTTATGACGTCTAGTCCCTGAAGCTAGTGTGAATTGGGTTTCCTACAATTTAAGTAAGAAACGTTAGTAATACTTCATGAAAAAGATAAGATTGGAAGTGTAAGAGAGAAAGATGATTTCTGATAAAACAAGGAGTTGGGGGAAAGAAATGGTGCAGAAGGACCCTGAACTCAGGTTGAATTCCTTATCTTTGAAGACTGCATGAAAGGAAGAATACAGGTTTCTTAGTTTCTTAGAGCTGCTGTGGCAGAAATACTTCAAGTGGCTGACTCTAACCATGAGAAATTTTATTTGCTCACACTTCAGGAAGCTACAAGTCTTCATTCAGGGCACTGACTTCAGGGGAAGTATCACTCTCTCTCTGGGGGAAGCCTTGTCTCAGCTTTTCAAGCCCTGGCACCCTTTGGTTCCTTGATGACTTCCATGTGGCATCAATCTTTCCCCCATTTGTGCGTTCTTGTCTCTGTGCCTAATCTGCTCTTTTATATCTCAAAAGTGATTTGATTTAAGACACTCCTTACACTAACATGGCTTGGTTAACATAACAAAGAAAATTCTCTTTCCAAATGGGCTTACATTCACAGGTATGATGGTGGTAGTGGTGGTTATGTGCCGGGGCGTCGGTTGCGACTCATAGTGATTCTATATAGAGTTTCCGAGGCTGAAATCTTTACAAGAGCAGAAAGCTTCATCTGTTTCCCACAGAACTGCTGGTAATTTCGAACTGCTGACCTTGAGATTAGCAGCCCAACTCATAACCACCACACTACCAGGAATTCAGGTATAGAAGTTAAAATTCTAATGCATATTTTGGTGCACATAATGTAATCCTTAACAGTGGGTAAAAGGTTTTAGGGAAAGAGTGGTGAGAAGGGAGGAAGGCAGAGTTAAGAAAATTCACTTCTAGTGGTCTTTCTCTGTGGTCAGTAAGGATAGCTACAGCAAAAAGCTAACTGTCCAACTGTTTATCCATGAATCTATCTCATTTCTTCTGTAATCTCCAAAAATAGTGATTTTTTTCCCTTAGAGATTCTAACCCAGTGATGTTCTGACCACTTTCAAAGCCCTTTTTTTGTTCTTCCTTTTTTAAATGTAAGATGCTTTAACTAAATCGTTGTACTCCACCTTCTGAAACTGTCTTGTACCAGAACTTATAACTTATCTCAGAACTCACAATTTACCTTAGCTTTTCAATGAAGGAAAGAGAAAAAAAGGTACGTGAAAATTGAGTGCCAGACACTGTGCTGGGTGGGTATGTATGTTTCCATACTTAACCCTCACAAAGACCAGCAAAGCAGATATCTCATTCCAGTGATAAGCAAACCCAGGATCCAAAGGTTAAGGAGTTTGAGCATAGTCACAGCTAGCAATAAGCAGTGTGGTAAGAATAAGACTCAGACCAGGGGTGACCAAATCCCCTGCTCTTCCCACTGCACACACTGCCCCTAAAAGGTGGAGCATATGTGTGGTCCTGAACCACGAGGGGCTACAGCTGCCCAACTGCTTTTAGTACTGGGAGTGTTCTGAAGATTAACTTGGAGACCATTAACACACAAAAAAAAACAATGCTAATAAGTAAAATACTATTTAAGTTAAAACATAAAGCATTTATTTACAAAGGCCCTTCCTCTAAGCAGCTCTTCCAATTGGACCACAAGCCACTTTACGACACAAACCACACCCATTGTACATTCTCTCTGGAGTTCCAGTTTCTGCTTCTTCAAAGCAGAAAAAGCACTTAGACACTTACACAACAATCTGAAATCAGACTCTTCCTAATTCAATAGCTACTAGCCTGTTACAGAGCTTTTTGAAGCATCCAATTTAGTTTTCATGGAAGCAAGTGTCTTTTTCCAATCATATTTCATATTATTATGAATTTCAAATAAATTATACAATTCTAACAAGTGCAATGAATAGAACCAAGTTTGGAAAGAAGTCCATTAAGGTGGTGGGAGCAAAAATGTTCAAGTGTTTTAGAGAGTAACCTGTAAGCACTAGAAGGTCATGGGAATTGGGTGGATGTTTTACAGAAGAAACAGACAACATTTGTGACTCAAGGAAGCCACAGAAGTGTGGTCAAGTTGGGAGACTGTTGCAATTCTGAACTAGGTGAGGATTCTTATCTATTAGGCACTCTGAGGAAAGAAAAGAACAAAGAATGTCAAGTGGCAAAGCTACAAAAAGATTGTCAGGAGAAAATTTTTTTATTTTCCACTTAAAAAAATAATTAGCTGCAAACATGGAAATCACAACTAACCACAAGGAAAACATTGGCTCCAGGATAATAAGAAAAGTTTAAGTGTATATAAAGGAGAAAGTGTATGCAGACAAATGAATCAAAGCTAAGCAGATGAAGTGAGCAGGGTATGGGCGTGATTGACGTAACACTAAAATGCTCACTTTCCTTAGTTGTATCTGTGTGTGTAATACATAGAATGAAATCTAAACTCGGTGTAGTTTTGAGAGTTCCATCATATTTCTGAGTCTTGTATATTTTTCCACTTTTAGAAAGTTCGTGGAGGGTTGAGTCTAAGTCTTTCTTGTTGTTGTTGTTAAGTGCCATTGAGTCGGTTCCAACCCATAGCAACCCCATATAGGGGTTCTAAGGAGTGACTGGTGAGCTTAAACCACTGACCTTGTAGTTCAAACGACTTTGCAGTCTGGTGCATTAACCCACAGCGCCACACCAGGACTCCTCATAGTTACCCTAATAACCCACAAGATAATCTTTGTTGTCACAGCTTTAATGGTGGACATTTGCCAGCACTTCATCCTTAGAATTGAACTCTTCAGAGCCTCAGGCACATGGTCATCCAGTCCAGCCTGAGCATTTCAGTAGCTCATTTAAATCCATTAACCGACCACTGCAACTGTAGAATGTTCTTCCCTAATTGGACCAAGGTCTGTCTCCCTGTAGCATGTGCTCACTTACCCCAGTTCTGTTGTCTACAGTTAAATCATTGGCCCTTCAATGTGACAGTCTTGCAGACAATTGTCGCTGAGTACCATTGAGTTGGTTCTGACTCACAGCGACTCTGTATAGGGTTTCCGAGGAGTGGCTGGTAAGTTTGAACCACCAACCTTGCAGTTCAAACTGACCTTGCCATCCAGTGATTATCCTACCTACAGCGCCACACCAGGACTCCTTGCAGACAATTTGTCCTAAATTTTCTCTCCTCTAGAATATCTAAGGAGCTCTGGTAGCATGGTGGTTATGAGTCGGGCTGCTAACCTCAAGGTCAGCAGTTCGAAACTACCTGCCATTCCATAAGACAAAGGTAAGGTTTTCTGTTCCCGTAAAGATTTACAGCCTCAGAAACCCTATGCAGGCTTGCTATGAGTCGGAACCGACTGTACGGCACATAACCACCACTACCACCAGGATATCTAACCGTAGTGAGTCAAAACATTCATCAGAAGACACAGCTTTCAACGTGTCCCACAGGCAGTAAAAAGGCAGTGAGCACTCACCACACTTCACCATCCCTACTTCATAGCACTTCCGGAGTCGGCAGGCCTGGCAGCTTTTGCGCCGGTTCTTATCTATTGTGCACTGATTTGTAGCTGGGCAAATATAGTCATTATGTCCTAAGGCAGAACAAAAAGAAGAAAGGTTATTTTTATAATCATTTGGTTAAATTTCTTCCTTGTCAACAACAATGATGATACTACCCTGCTGAGAGATAAGGGTGCATCTTAATAGCAGGTATGGGCATAAAAGCCAAAATTTTCCATTAGTGTTGCCTTGTTAGCGAGTAAAGAAGACCTAGCAATAATTCAGTAGCCTACTTTTTGAAGCAGCAGTCAAGAAATCAAACGATGTATTGCATTAGGCAAATCTGCTGCACAAGACCTTTTTAAAGTGCTGAAAAGCAAAGATGTCAGCTTGAGGACTAAGGTGCGCCTGACCCAAGCCATGGTATTTTCAATAACCTCATATATGTGCGAAAGCTGAACAGTGAATAAGGAAGACCATACAAGAATTGATGCTTTTGAGTTATGGTGTTGGATAATATTGAAAGTGCCATGGGATGCCAAAAGAACCAATAGATCTGTTTTGGAAGACGTGCAGTCAGAGTGCTCCTTGGAGGCAAAGATGGCCAAACTTTGTCTCTCATACTTCAGACATATTGTCAGGAAGGATCAGTCGCTGGAGAAGGACATCATGTTTGGTAAGGTGGAGGGTCAGAAAAAAAGAGGAAGACCTCCAATGAGATGTATTGGCCAAATGGCAGCATCGATAGACTCAAGTGTGATAACAGTAGTGAGGTTGGCCCAGGATTGGGCAGTGTTTCGTTTTGCTGTGCACAGGGTCACTATGAGTTGGTACCAACTCAATGGCACCTAACAACAACTACAACAACTTTTTGACCAGTAGGTTATTTTCTTGTATGTTCTTAAAATTCTCAAGAGATCCATTCAGAATGATCCTTTTTTGGACATGAAAAATAAAACTGTCATATAAAATTGGTTGCTGTTGTGAAGTGCCATCGAGTTTGTTCTGATCAATAGCGACCCTGTATAGGGTTTCTGAGGAGCAGCCAGTGAGCTTGAACTGCCGACCTTGCAGTTCATATGGCTTTGTAGTCTGGTACATTAACCCACAGCACCACAGCAAATTAATTTGTTCCAAATCACAGATCTCTTAAAAAACTGTACTTATGCATCAAGTAACCAGATTGTCTACCTATATTCTTTTACAGATGGCTTTGTGATTTTATATGGTATTTTTATGGGACCCCATAACTAAATAAGTGAACCAAATCAGAAGGAGTAAAGAAGCTAACACTCTAAGTAAAAACAGAAAGAATCCCAAACCCTATACTTGAAAATAGTTGAGGGGTCTTAGATTGTTGTTTTCAATAATTCCGCTATCTTTCCCACCACCCCTTAGCCACATGACCTTGAAGTACACTGGAGTAAGCCAAGTATATTTCTCTACCAGTTGCCATTGGGTTTGACCATGTGATTTGCTTTGGAGAAGAGGGTTAGCAGATGCAATACTTGAACAGTTAATGGCTTCATCTCTTGAACTCCATGAAGAAACTACTTCAGGTAGTCATTGGTCCAAGGAAAATGTGGATACATGTGGATTAGACCTGAACTCGAACCACAGTCTGTAACTAAGCCTTATGCTGTAGATCTACCCTAACCAACTCCCAGATCCAGAAACAAACAAACAAATGGTCATTGTAGTAAGACAACACTGGCTCAGTCTAGATATAGAAAGACAAGCTGGAGAAGAAAATTAATACAGCCAGTAACAGCAACAAGAAAAATTCTGTTCAAAGTACACCAATTATCTCATGTATTAGTTTTCTTATTTCATGCAACAGTGTGAGAAGCACACCAACATTTCTGGTAGCGTATTGGTTACAAATCGGGTTGTGAACCGCAAGGTCAGCAGTTCGAAACTACCAGCTTCTCCATGGGAGAAATATGAGGCTTTCTGGTCTCATAAAGATTTACAGCCTTGGAAACCCTGTTCAGGTCGTTATGGGTTGGAACCAACTTGATGGCACTTAACAACAACAACTGATTCCCAGGTTATTTCCCACCAACCTGTCCTTTAATCCTGCAACATCCCTACAGAGAGTTATGACACCCATTTTACAAATGAAAAAACCTTAAGCTCAATTCCATAATCTACCTATGAATAGTTTTCCCTTTTGTCTACCCTATAACAATTTACTACAAACTCGGCAGCTTAAAATAGAATAAATTTATGATCTCTGTTTTCATGGGTCTGGTTTTGCTGGATCCTCTGATCAGGGCCTCACAAAGCAGTAATCAAGGTGTCAACCAGGCTGTGATCTCATTTGAAGCTTGAGGTCTTCGTCCAAATTCATCAGGTTGTTGGCAGAATTCAGTTCCTTGTGACTGATGGACTGAGGTGGTACCTGCTTTCAGGCTAGCTGTCAGATAATTGTAGCTCTGAGAAGCACCCAGAGTTCCTTGCCGTGTGGTCTGCAGAGGCCGTCCACTTGTGGATGTGCTTGTTTTCTTCCAGGCCAGCGGGAATCCATCCACCTGACTTCCAATTGCTCTCCGGACTGCTGTGATCCAATGTTATATACGCAACACGATCTCATGAACACTTGCCATGTAACATAATCAAATCAGCACAGGTTCTGCCCACATTCAAGAGCGTATTATAAGCTCTGTTTTAACGTTTTTCAAGGAGCAGCACTTGTTACTATTTTTGTCTTCCTTTATAATATCAATAACAAGTTAAATTTGTAAAACCTAAAATAAATTTATAATCAGAAAAAAACGATTGCACTTTAAAAGCTGCTTTGTAGTTAGACTATAAATGCAGTTCCACAGTAGTTTTCACATCAGCAGCAATCCTGTAAGTACATTCTTAAAACCTGTATATAATGCCATCTTTACTTTTAAAAAGAACATCTGGTTTATAATGATGAGCATTTATGGGACAGCTGGGTGTTCACGTATATATTTTTCTTCAGAGTGTATTTTTAAAGGCTAATTTCGCTTTCAAAAATGAATCCAAGAGTATTATGATGTGACCATGCTAAATGAAAATATCATTAAAAACATCTTAAGCAGGAAGGTCATGGTAATTTATTTTGCTTCTGGCCAATAACAACAACAAAAATGCTCTTCAAAGTACACTATCTCATGCATTAGAATACTGCTCTTATCCAACCCAATAGTCTGATAAGAACATTACTCCACATAAACAGAAACAAGAAATGTGTGTGTGTGTGTGTGTGTGTGTGTGTGTGGAGAGAGAGAGAGTGAGGTCCTGGTGTGGTACTGTAGGATAATACATTGGACCACAAGGTTGGTTTGAACAGCAAGGTCGTAGGTTCAAATTTACCAGGCGCTTCTCAGAAAGTCTATACAGGGTCGCTATGAGGCAGAACCAACTCAACAGCACTTAACAACAACAACAAAAATATATATAGAGAGAGAGCCCTCTCGAAGCACAATCATTAAGCATTAACGAAAAGGTCAGTGGTTCCAACTCCCTAGTGGCTCTGCGTGAGAAAAGAAGTGGCGATCTGTTTTCACAAGGGTGACCCTATAGGGCAGTTTTACTCTGTCTTATATAGTCACTGTGACTTGGAACTGACTCAACAGCACACAGTAATATACGTAAGTTTTAATTAAGATAGAAAACTTTGGTGCTTGTAGTATAAACTATACAAGGTTAAATTCTTCCTTCTGAAAAAATTTCTTGCCAAAATTGGCATCTATCTAAATGGCGTAGTGGTTATGAGTTGGGCTGCTAACCTCAAGGTCAGAAGTTCAAAACTGTCAGCTGTTCCATGGAAAAAGATGAGGTTTTCTGCTCCCGTAAAGAGTTATAGCCTCAGAAACCCTATGCAGGGTCGCTATGAATCTGAACTAACTCCACAGCACATGACTACCACCACTACCAAATACTTATCGGTAGTACAGTGGCTCCATACAATAAGCATTGGACTGGGAACAACAGGGTTCACGGTTCAGGCCCACCAGCCATTCCTCAGAAGAAAGATAAGGCTTTTTGATTCCCTAAGATTTAAAGTCTCGGAAACCCTATACAGGGTTGCTTTGAGTTGCAACCAACTAGACGGCACTTAACAACAACAAACAAATACTGTAAGGAGCCCTGGTATCATAGTGGGTTATGATTTGGGCTGCTAACCACAAGGCCAGCAGGTTAAATTTACTAGCCACTCTGTGGTAGAACGATGAGGAGTTCTGCTTCTGTAAAGATGTACAGCCTCAGAAACGCTATGCAAGATCGATATGAGTCAGGACCAACTCAAAGGCACACAACTACCAACACCACCAAATCCTTATTTTCACTCAGATCCAACTGCATGGTAAACAAGAGAGAGCATTGAACTTGAAATCAGATTTGAGTTCAATCTCAGCTCAACTTTCCAGTTGTCTTAGTTAAAGAAGAGCAAGGTTTATGGCCCAGGCCCTACCATGCTTTCTTACCCTCCAATTGCAGGCCTCCATCATTCATCTGTCAGTTTGTCATACTGTGATGATTTGTGTGATGCCAGAGCTATGCAACTGGTGTTTCAAATACTCCTGGTGAACAGATTTTAGTGGAGCTTCCAGACTAAGACAGACTATGAAGAAGTAGAGGCAGACAACTTCTGAACTGTTGGTACTGAAACCTTATGAAGAGCAATGGAACATTGTCTGATATAGTGCTGAAAGATGAACCCCTTAGGTTGGAACACACTCACAATACAACTGGGAAAGAGCTGCCTCCTCAAAGTAAAGTTGACCTTAACGATGTATATGGAATAAAGCTTTCAGGACCTTCATTTGCTAATGGAGCACAACTCTAAATGGGAAGAAACAGCTGCAAAAGTCCATTAATAATCGTTGTTAGAAAATATGTCATTGGTGATAGAAACAATGCTGGAGATCACATGATAGAAATTTTGCAAGATCAATGACCTATTCATTGCAAATACCTTTTTTCAACAACACAAATAGCAACTATACATATGGACCTCACCAGATGGAATACACAGGAATCAAATTGACTACATCTGTGGGAAGAGACAATGGAGAAGCTCAATACCATCAACTAAAACAAGGCCAGAGTCCAA